CGTCGCCCCAAATCACGAATGTCGTCCTCATAAAATTCAAGATTTTTAGAGGCAAAATAGTTGGCAACCCAATTTTCGATGTCCTGCTTTTGCTTGAACTGCTTTCCAGAAACCGTTTGTTTCATAGACCGAAAAATATGGTAATCCGATGGGGCTAGGTCAGGGCTGTATGGTGAGTGAGGAAGAAGTTCATCCCAACTTATCGATCTATTCGTGGACGACTTTTGAAATGCACGGCCTAGCATCAACAGATGGATCGATCTGCTTTTTCCTCAGTGCTCGAGCGACTCGACCCAGTTGTTCTGCATAAAGTCTTCCATCAACAGTCTCGCCTTTATCTAATACTTCAAAATAAACCAATCCCTTAGTATTCCACCACACACAGAGCATAACCTTCTTCCCGTGTATCGGAGGCTTCGGGAAGACAAAAAAAACATGAGCACATTTTGACATATTATTGAGAAAAATCCTAGACAGCGAATGTTCTTCGTAACGACAGGGCAATATTTTTTGTAAAAAATAACCTTTCATATTTGCCAAGCTAATAACAAAAAAATTCCAGTCAACGTCAGTTCTTTTTCCCTCCATAAGCTGCTGGTTTTAGGATGCGATTTTGATATTTGATGGAATTACGAGAATGTCAAAAGGAAGAACCAATGACTATCAACCCCTCAAACCACTCCCAAGCCTGATTCATGACAAGAAAACCATACGCTGTTGCTCGTGAAACTCAACTTTGGTAGACTATGAGCTAGCTAATCCAGGAGAGAACATTGATGCTGATCTCTATTCAAACAATCTCTAACGATGCTTTAGAAAAGCCGAAGAAGAAGAAGAAACCAGCTAAGACACTCAGGCTGAAACTGACTTGAAAAGCGGATCATTTACCCAGTAAATTATGAATAGAGTTACTGTAAAGCAATGAGATATTGTTAAAATTTTAGGAAACTTCAGCTAACAGTAAGTTCGGGGAATCATTCGGCTCAAATTCGCCGCTTAACATGTAAAAGGCAGATAGAGTTGAAATTCAGGGTTCTCTTCACCCTCATATTAGCTGAACTGTTAATTTTTCGTTTAAATTAGAATCTGATCATTTAATTGAAGGAGAATTTGGGCAGCTTTTGAGGCATACTTATGCAATACAACGAGAACTTGAATCGCGTTCAATGACAATTGAAAAGATTTTCAAATGCAAAGATACAACAAAAACTTCTTCAACTGATTCAAAAGCCAAGAAATTTGCCTAAATAATCACTTTCTATTTTTCAGAATTCAGATTTGACTTGAAATTTGATTTTGAATAACGTTCAATGAGAGTTGAAAAGATTTTCAAATGCAAAGATTTCATCAAAATATGATAATGGATGGGAAAAGTACTCCTACGTGATCTTGTCAAAAAATTCGAAAATCGCGTAGAAAGCTTTTTGTCCTAAATCCCCTAAAGCCAAGAGTGTTTGTTGATGACGGAAATAAGAAATCAGACGAGAAAGATCAAATATTGAACTACAGGTTTGGCAGAAAGCAGCTTTATGAGGATTAAAGGCAGGACGTGGAAAAGGACAATTTGTGTGCTCAGGGAGGGGATATGGGAGAAGCTGGGGAAGGGCAAGTGTGGAAATAAAATTGTAGAATTGGTGATGGGGAATAAAGCCATACAGAAGCTTGACAGGAACAGCTATCGTACTTTCCCTAAGCTGATGACTATTTGACGGTTTTTAAGTTTTCACAGAGGCTCAACAGTCTAATCCCCCACAAGATCTCGTCGTCAGCTAGATTTTAGTTAGATCGACAGATTCTGATAAGTGCTTTTTGAGATTTCGAGCAATTTAGGCGAAGCTTAGGGGGCAAAATACGGTATTCGGATAAATTGATAGAAATGACAAGCTAAAAGGTAACAAAAGAACCTTTATTAACGTTATTTCTTTATCACCAAGACATTCTAACGATTACCGTTTAAACAAAAGCTATTAAAGTGAAAATATCCTGGTTATCGGTCAAAGTTTTCGTTTCTGAAGAGATTCAGTCAAAACTAAGCATATTGGATTGGGTAATCAAGAGAAGTCGAGCCAAAAAAGCTGAAACAAGTCTGACTTCTGATTGGCTCAGGCGTTTTTACAATTACCTCAGAAGCCAGTTAGCCTAGCTGCTTGCTTTGATCTAGTCCTGATTACAAAGAACAGACCAAAGACAGCTTTAGCTTGCAGCTTAGCTTAGGATTCAGGCTTTGAAATGGGTTTAAACATCTCTAAGACTCAATCCTGGTCTGCCTAGTGCGATTTATGATTTTTTTTTTGATTTTAAAACATTTGTAATAGCTCTGGATTGTAATAGATAAAAAGGGGAATAGATTAAAAAAATGGAAATAATTAATCAATTGGCTGAACAAGTCAAAAGTGAACAGAACATTCTCATCAATGTCATCATTATTGTCTCAATCACCTAGCATTTTCTGGAAAGAGATTTCAATGAGTTACTGAAAGAAATTGGTCAAAAAAAACTGGTTAAAAGGACTAAAAGATGGAAAAAAAAGCTACCGTAATCCCGGTCAATTATTGTCGGATTGCAAAGTGGTTTGTTGAAGGGAAAGTTTTCAAACCCGGCTTTACTAACGATTTTCCACTCTCGGAGAACCAAATCCCTTTTCAAGTGGCTATTTACAGTATTTCCCTTTCAGCAGACTTAGCAGATTACCGATTTGCCAATCTTCCTGTCAATATCACTCCTGAATCACTTCTTCAACCCACTAACAATCCTCTCGCCTTTCCCCTTTCCAATATTCAAATTCTGTTGTTGCAGCTCTCTTGAATCCTTTCCAAATCTCTTATAGATAAAAATAACTTATCGGCTTTTGCCTTTCATCATTTTCTATCAATATCTAAAACAAAAAAGGGGTACTTATCGTTTTGAAAGCGATTTTCATCCCATATAGCCTATATTGATGATTGAAAATATTCTAGTGCAGGAGAGATTTTCTCGAAAATATTTTCTTAAATCCAGGGATCCGGTTAGAAAATCTTGAGGGGAATGGAGATGAGAATGGGGAAAAGAAAAGGGAAAAGAAAAGGGAAAATATGGGGATAAGAAGGGGATTTTGGAAAAAAAAATATTTGAAAGGGTAAAAAAGAGAAAAGCTTTCAAGAAGTTTTCAAGCCACATCTTTCAAAATCCAAGGAGAATGAGTACTGTTTTAGTGCAAAAGCACAAGTTGTGTGTTCGGGGGATAGAGGACAACTTAGAGAAGGGCAAGTGTGGAGGTGAAATCGTTGAATTAACTGTAAATATCGGAATATAGTAGATTCTGAATTGTTTTCCTACCTCAAGTGCTTTCGGACTCTTATAAATAGGGCGAGATTTGCCTGGAACGTTCAGAGTTTAGTTTGGAGATGGTCAAAATGGTAATACTGTTTGGAGCTTATTTAGGTATATGATTACTGCACAAAAACTTCAAATTTATCCCGTTTCTCAATCCAACTCACCGATGAGTCAGCCGAGAATCGGGAAACGATCGATTTGATCTTGCTCGGAAGACGATTCTCGCCAATTTCGATGAGAAAGAGCACAATGATAAGAGAATAAAGAAAACTGGAAAGGTTTATGAAAAAACAACAAAACAACAGCACAATAAAACCAAAAAATAACTTACCATAAGTTCTCGAACAATAGAACAGCATGCCGCTCTATTGTTCCCATTTTTCGAATGCCCCAAAAATCACCTATGGGGGTACCACATTGTTGAAAAAAAATTATTTTTTCCTTAAATCACTCTAACTCGATTCCTTTTGATATAAAATATACGAAGAACAAATTTTAAAACAAAAAGTTATGTCCATGTTTCTATTCCCGGATGTCCGACCCTCCTAAATCCCTGTGATCCCCCTTATGATTTTTTCTTCTCAAAAAATCTTCAGTCGAAATTTTGTCGAAGTCGAAGATGAGAAAACTAGTTTTTCATTTCAATCAGGTTTTCATAACTGGTTGGGCAAACGTCTTTTAAAAGTTATTCGAAGACTTGGACTCGAAGATTCGAAGACCTGCATAAAGAGCCCGCAAATTTCTTCTGAACACCTTTTTATGTGTTTCCGCTATTATCCGCTTTCTTTTGACTACAACGAAGAAATGTTTATTTTTAGAAGCATTAAAGCTAAAGAATTCTTACAGTTGATTGAATACTAAAGAATTCTTACAGCATTCAAAATTCACATTTGTTTAAACTTCACAATTCAAAATTTTTTTAAATTATGTTATCATGATGCCCGTTCAGCGCCTCAACTCTCTTTTGTATTGGTACTTTTTAATGTTTTTTTTTGCAAAATAAACTTCATTATCTTTTTAAACATTTCTTTGTTTTAGTTAGCAACTCTCTTGTCGCTTCGAGCAGGACTTTTCGTCAACACGAGAAAAGACGGTAATCAGACGACGAAATTGGTATATTTTTATGCGTTTTTAACCTTGGAACACGGATCTCCTTTCGTTTTGATCAGATCATCTAATACATTGTCTCCATCGCGAACCATCCATGGCGTAGTCGTTGGCTAAATTAGTACTATAGGCTTGTGGCGGCGGGGGGCACTTTCAAACCCAATGTTTTGAATGATTGTAATGATTTGATTTCCAAATGTGAGCAACGACATCATGATCAGTGCAACAAGTTGGCCAATCATCGAATAGATGTATCCAAAAGGTGTTGGAACGATTACACTTTCAAACCCAATGTTTTGAATGATTGTATTTTTCCTTTATTCTGAAAAAGTCTAAGCCTGCTAAGCTAGTTCATACTATTTTAAGAGTATCCAAATGTGAGCAACGAGATAATGCTGAGATAATAGATGTATCCAAAAGGTGTTGAAACGGTTGCCAATTGATTCGGCCTATTTTATTTCTCTAAAAGAAAGAAAATTGTCCGTACAGTCATTCGAAATGTTTCTACTTTTCGACCCATCGATTCATCCTATTTGATTTCTTTAAAAGAAAGAAAATTACAATCATTCGAAATGTTTCTAATGATTCTGCTGGCAATTTTCTTTCTTCTAGGGAAATCAAATGGGCTAAATCAATTGGTAATCGTTTCGACACTTTTTGGATACATCTATTGGATGATTTGCCAACTTGTTGAACTCCCACCACCCAGCATTATCTCGTTGCTCACATTTGGAAATAGAAATGGAAATAGAAATAAAAACATACTGGGAATACTTTAATATAGTATGAACTAGCTTCGCAGGCTTAGATTTTTTCAGAATAAAGGAAAAATACAATCATTCAAAACATTGGGTTTGAAAGTGCCCCCCGCAAAAGCCTATAGTGCTAATTTAGCCAACTACTACGCCAGCGATTCGCGATGGAGACAATGTATTAGATGATCTGATCAATCCGAAAGGATTTCCGATTGGGGTGGGTAGCTTTTTGTCATTTTTTGGTACGTAGAATAACTTGAAATTCAATGTTTATGTTTAATTTTTAGCAGGTGTGGCCTGGTGGAAAAGATCCTGATGGGCCCTATGGCTTTCGATTATGGAGGTTTGTGGGTTCCAGAAATAAATAGATTTCCAGCTTGTTACTTGTTTGAGTTGTTTTTAGCGTAAAATAAACTTATGCAGTAGTACTATAACAATTAGCAATGCCTTTACTTCTGCTAAATTACAAAATTTAATAGTTTTTCATTTTAGGTATATTCATCATGGTTTCAAAGGCCCTGAAGTGGCTGAATGTAGCGAAAATGGCCTTCCAGTGAAGGTTAATATAAACTTTGTATAAAAAATATAGGTTTCTTTAGGTAAAACACATCTATTACTGGCCTGGCGATCATATTTCTTTCCCGTGCAAAGTTTGTCAACGGTTAGTTTCGTCCATAGAATCTAAATGAATGTTCTGTTCGAATTTTAGAGATCTCGATTCAAATAGAAGGATCAAAATGTGGGGTTCGGCGGCAAAAGTATACGACTTTTTCGATCATTACCTAAAGAATAAGGTACAATTCTTTTCGATTTTCTGCTATTGTTGACACATTTAGAAGTTGCAACACGCGGATGTTGGCGTGCAATTTTTACTACTAAAGTTCGAGTTCAATACAAGATCGAAAGAATTTGATGGATCAGGGGACTCGGATCCGTCTTACATGTCCGGAAATCGGTTCGTTTGTTGTTTTTATTAAAGAGATAAGGTACTTATTGTCTTTGATAAGGTACAAAAATTTGTTTCTTTAGAATTCAGGCCACAGAGAACGGATCTTTCCCCCATATCCGACGACAAACGTTCGAACAAATTAGCAATACGTTACTCATTCATAATGTAAGTTTATGTATAGTTTAGATGTAAGTTTGTCTGATTTTTTTAGGCTGAAGTAAGGGCGGCTGGTGTATATTTTTGCTACGAGGACACCGCGATCCATTTGGTATACTTTCACAGCGGCAATGAAATTTTTACCCATGCTTAGGTCCGCTATTTCTATATTCTCCACGCAATGACGCCGATCAATCAAGTGAAAAGAATACTTTCCCTTTCACTTCCAAAATCGTCTCTATTTTCTTTCGCACCTCTATTCGTTTCTCTGTAGAAGCATTCGCGCAGAAGATGGGAAGAAGTCATAGATACTAATGGAGAATACCTTTCGAATTGAAAGCTCTTCTTTTGTTTTTTTGAAAAATATTATTTGTTACATAAACGCGTCATTATTAAGTCGTCGACCTAATATTACAGTATTTACGGTAGTTTTCATCAGGTTTTCATAACTGGTTGGACAAACGTCTTTTAAAACTTATTCGAAGACTTGGACTCGAAGATTCGAAGACCTGCATAAAAAGCCCGCAAATCTCTTCTAAATACGCTTTATGTGTTTCCGCTATTATCCGCTTTCTTTGGACTACAACGAAGAAAAGTTTATTTTTAGAAGCATTGAAAGCTAAAGAATTCTTTTCACTTCATTGACCGGCGTCATTGCGTGGAGAATATAGAAATAGCGGACCTAAGCATGGGTAAAAATTTCCTTGCCGCTGTAAAAGTATACCAAATTGATCGCGGTGTCATCGTAGCAAAAATACACACCAGCCGCCCTTGCTTCAGCCTAGAAAAATCAGATAAACTTACAACTAAACTATACATAAACTTACTTTATGAATGTGTAACGTATTGCCAATACGTTCAAACCTTTGTCGTCGGATGTGGGGGAAAGAGCCGTGCTCTTTGGCCTGAATTCTAAAGAAACAAATCAAACAATAAGTACCTTATTTTTTTAACCAAAGCAATAAACGCACTGATTTCCGTAAGACGGATCAGAATCCCCTGATCCATCGAATTCCATCGATCTTATATTGATCTCGGACTTTAGTGGTAAAAATTGCACCCCAACATCCGCGTGTTGCAACTTCTAAATGTGACAACAATAGCAGAAAATCGAAAAGAATTGTACCTTATTCTTCTGGTAATGATCGAAAAAGTCGTATACTTTTGCGGCCCAACCCCACGTCTTGATCTTTCCATTTGAATCGAGACCTCTAAAATTCGAACAGAACATTTGATTTAGATTCTATGGACGAAACTAACCGTTGACAAACTTTGCACGGGAAAGAAATATGATCGCCAGGCCAGTAATAGATGTGTTTTACCTAAAGAAACCTTTATTGTTTATACAAAGTTTATATTAACCTTCATTGGAAGGCCATTCTCGCTACATTCAGCCACTTCGGCGCCTTGCAAACCATGATGGATATACCTAAAACGAAAAACTATTAAATTTTGTAATTTAGCAGAAGTAAAGGCATTGCTAATTGTGATAGTACTACTGCATAAGCTTATTTTACGCTAAAAACTTCACTCAAACAAGTAACAAGCTGAAAATCCATTTATTCTTGAACCCACAAACCTCCATGATCGAAACCAAGTGCTAGATTTTCCATTAGGGAAATAAACCTAAAAATTAAACATAAACATTGTATTTCAAGTCATTCTACGAACCAAAAAACGACAATAAGGTACCCACCCGCGTAGTAAAAGGATATCCTTTCGGATTGATCAGATCATCTAATACCTTGTCTCCCTCGCGAATCGCTGGTGTAGTAGTTGCCTAAATTAGTACTATAGGCTTGTGGGGGGGAGTGCAACAAGTTGGCAAATCATTGAATAGATGTATCCAAAAAGTGTTGAAACGATTACCAATTGATTCAGCCCATTTGATTTCCCTAGAAGAAAGAAAATTGCCAGCACAATCATTAGAAACATTTCGAATGATTGTACTGGCAATTTTCTTTCTTTGAAAGAAATCAAATAGGCTGAATCAGTTGGTCAAAAAGTAGAAACATTTCGAATGATTGTAATTTTCTTTCTTCTAGGGAAATGAAATAGGCTGAATCGATTGGTAACCGTTTCAACACCTTTTAGACACATCTATTCGATGATTTTATGTCAATAGAGTCAAAATCAGGTCATAAAAGCGGTGAATGACTACTTCGCCTCACAAACTCCCAAGTTCTTCGAGGATGGGATCCGGGATTTGCGCAGAAGATGGGAAGAAGTCATAGATACTAATGGAGAATACCTTTCGAATTGAAAGCTCTTCTTTTGTTTTTTTGAAATAAATTATTTGTTACATAAACGCGTCATTATTAAGTTGTCGACCTAATATTACAGTATTTACGGTAGTTTTCCTCAGGTTTTTATAACTGGTTGGGCAAACGTCTTTTAAAACTTATTCGAAGACCTGTATAAAGAGCCCGCAAATTTCTTCTGAATACCTTTGGGGGTGGGACAAATGCGATCTTTTTTCTGAGCACTTTCTGAGCAATCGTATGCGTAGATTCCGAATTTCAACAAATCAGACCTCGCTGACACGTCAAATTTGGGTTAAAAGGCAAAAACTGCGGAAAAGCGTTAAGTTGCGTAGTTTTTGCCTTTTAACCCAAATTTGACGTGTCAGCGAGGTCTGATTTGTTGAAATTCGGAATCTACGCATACGATTCCCTTATATGGAAATATTTTCGAAGCTCTGCGGCCTTTCCTAAGGCCTTTTCCAGCAAAAAAAAGGTGCGCAAATGTCCAGGTGCTCAGAAAAAAGATCGCATTTGTCCCACCCTCATACCTTTTTGTGTTTCCGCTATTATCTGCTTTCTTTTGACTACAACGAAGAAAAGTTTATTTTTAGAAGCATTGAAAGCTAAAGAATTTTTACAGTTGATTGATACGTTTGCATTCAAAATTTACATTTGTTAAAATTTCACAATTCAAAAATTTTTTTTAAATCATTTTATTATGATGCCCGTTCAGCGCCTCTACACTCTTTTTGTATTGGTACTTTTTAATGTTGTTTTTTTGTAAAATAAACTTCATTATCTTTTTAAATTTTTCTTTGTTTTAGTTAGCAACTCTCTTGTCGTTTCGAGCAGGACTTTTCGTCAACGCCAGAAAAGACGGTAATCAGACGACGAAATTGGTATATTTTTATGCGTTTTTAACCTTGGAACACGGATCTACTTTCAGACCCAAGATTTTGAATGATTGTATTTCTCCTTTATTCTGAAAAAAATCTAAGCCTGCTAAGCTAGTGCATACTATGTTAAGCGTATTCCCAGCATGTTTCAATTTCTATTTGATTTCCAAATGTGAGCAACGAGATAAAGCTGGGTGGTGGGAGTGCAATTAGTTGGGAAATCATCGAATAGATGTATCCGAAAATCTGCTAAGCTAGTTCATTTTAAGAGTATTCCCAGCATGTTTCAATTTCAATTTCTATTGGATGTCCAAATGTGAGCAACGAGATCATGCTGAGATAATAGATGTATCCAAAAGGTGTTAAAACGGTTGCCAAATGATTCAGCCTATTTGATTTCTTTAAAAGAAAGAAAATTGCCAGTACCATCATTCGAGATGTTTGTAATGATTCTGCTGGCAATTTTCTTAGCTTGCTTTGCTTTAGAATCCTTTCCCTTTCCCGTATACCGACAAGAACAGATCGTTTCGATTATGGAGGTTTGTGGGTTCAAGAAATAAATGGATTTCCAGCTTGTTACTTGTTTGAGTTGTTTTTAGCGTAAAATAAACTTATGCAGTAGTACTATAACAATTAGCAATGCCTTTACTTCTGCTAAATTACAAAATTTAATAGTTTTTCATTTTAGGTATATTCATCATGGTTTCAAAGGCCCTGAAGTGGCTGAATGTAGCGAAAATGGCCTTCCAGTGAAGGTTAATATAAACTTTGTATAAAAAATATAGGTTTCTTTAGGTAAAACACATCTATTACTGGCCTGGCGATCATATTTCTTTCCCGTGCAAAGTTTGTCAACGGTTAGTTTCGTCCATAGAATCTAAATGAATGTTCTGTTCGAATTTTAGAGATCTCGATTCAAATAGAAGGATCAAAATGTGGGGTTCGGCGGCAAAAGTATACGACTTTTTCGATCATTACCTAAAGAATAAGGTACAATTCTTTTCGATTTTCTGCTATTGTTGACACATTTAGAAGTTGCAACACGCGGATGTTGGCGTGCAATTTTTACTACTAAAGTTCGAGTTCAATACAAGATCGAAAGAATTTGATGGATCAGGGGACTCGGATCCGTCTTACATGTCCGGAAATCGGTTCGTTTGTTGTTTTTATTAAAGAGATAAGGTACTTATTGTCTTTGATAAGGTACAAAAATTTGTTTCTTTAGAATTCAGGCCACAGAGAACGGATCTTTCCCCCATATCCGACGACAAACGTTCGAACAAATTAGCAATACGTTACTCATTCATAATGTAAGTTTATGTATAGTTTTCCCATCCAACTTCAAGATCAATACAGGAGTGACGGAATTCGAGGGATCAGGGGATTCTGGTCCGTCTTACATGCCCGGAAATCGGTGCGTTTGTGGTTTTTATTAAAGAAATAAGGTACTTATTGTCTTGTTTGTTTAGAAAAATTTGTTTCTTTAGAATTCAGGCCACGGAGAACGGATCTTTCCCCCATATCCGACGACAATGGTTTGAACGTATTGGCAAGACGTTTCACATTCATAATGTAAGTTTATGTATAGTTTAGTTGTAAGTTTATCTGATTTTTTAGGCTGAAGCAGGAGCGGCTGGTGTATATTTTTGCTACGAGGACACCGCGATGAATTGGGTATACTTTCACAGCGGCAATTAAATTTTTCCCCATGTTTAGGTCCGCTATTTCTATATTCTCCACGCGATGACACCGATCAATCGAGTGAATTGGATGGATGATGCTAATTTGAAGAATCGTCTTCAGCTGAGTCCGGATATGGGTCAGTTTTAACAGTTCTTTCTAAACTTGCACATTTCAGGCAAAATGGTCTGTGAATTGCCGGACAAAAAGGATTTATTAAATCCTCCAGATCAATGTGGCAATGACCGCGGGAAAGCGATTTATGTGAGTGATTAATGATATTAAAGTAGATTTTATGGAAGTAAGTGCTAGTTTTTCCATTCAGCGACACTGAATATTACTAATTAACATTTAGATGTACCCGGATACTCAATGGAAATTCAACTGGCGTCCCATCATCTATAAACCCGTAAATGAGCCTCTCTGTGATAAGGGTTATTTTAAATGCGAACAATATCTGGTAATCCATTTCTTTTCAGTGCATTCTAGGTAACTTTAGAAACTTCACCCCAACACCAGTGGCCTAGCGATACGAAAAGTACCGGAGACTGCGATACATCTGCATGTTTTTAAACGATCGATCAATGATGCTAGTTTTTTTTCAAATTTCAATGAAAATAGCTAATTAAATGCCTTGAATTTCACATTTTTAGAGTTAATATTTACGTTTTAGAGACCATTCTACACGGATGTGGCGTTGGCTTTTCGATGGGAGCCGTGGAGTAGATGCGATTCGGGAAGAACACATCAACGCCGAGAGGGTGGGGGGTGTTTCGATGAATTTTAAAAGTTTAAAATCATTTAGGACACTGTGTTCTGCAGCTCGTCGATGGCAAAAAGAAAACGAACTCGGAAAATACTCTTACCAAAGCAACGAGGTACTTTTTACGGAGTTTTATAAGGTGACTTTAAAAAAGTAGTTTAGGTGGATGTCTCGATTGGATAGCATTTTCAGGCTTTCTGGAGGAAAGAATACGACATTTGTGAGATTGCACAGGTAAGAGTTGTTTGCGAAAATTCATACATAAAAGAATTCAATTTTAGTTCAACTTTGATGACGATGATCATGGATCAACCAGTGAACACCGATTGTGGGGCAAGAGGAAGATCGAAGAGTGTTCAAAAGATTGACGAGTTTTATGAACAGGTTTGTTTCACCTACTTGAATAGCCTGTTCATAAGTTCGACTCAAGCCTTTGCTCCAAGTTTTCTTTAGGTAATCTTTCCGTCGTTGGACATCCCGGGAGAACAATTCAACCGAAAGAAATTCACATTGAACAACGAGTGGAGGGCTTGTTTTAAGTGAGAATTCTGAGATTATTTTAACTTTAATTTACGAGCTTCCTTTTGGAATTGAACTTGCTATAAAATAAGAGATAATGGAGCTGTTAAAAAATGTCTTTTAGATACAAACACTCGGGAGAAAATGCGGGAAGTGATGGATCGTATTCGGATATTGTTGGCACCTATGTGATCGAAACAAAGCAGTGTTCTTAAACTGTATTTAAAACGATTACTGTATTTAAATGTTTCTTTCAAAGAATTCATGAAACTCTGTCTTTTTTTTCTTTGTTTTTGGTAGTCAACAAATGTTCTTTGTACACAAGTTCTGGAAAATTTGCTTTATTTGACAAGATATCTCTTTTGATCGACTAGTGTTTTGTTCGGCAATGGCGGTTCTAGGCTGGGATTTTTACCGGTAGAAAATTGTGGCAAAAGTAAAATCGAAAAGAAATCATTCCTAAAAGAATCTATTTTGGACTTGCACAAAGGGCGAGTTGACGATGCTGCTCGGTCCACTGAAATTTGAGTTTAAAGTTTGAACTAGGATGTTACGGTACCCTAAAGCTTGTTCACTCACCTTTCCACTTTGCACATCATACTTGTAGAGGGTCGAATCACAATGATATGCACAAGGGGTGAGCTTAACGAGTGAATGAAGTGGACAGTCCAAATAGGGCAACTCCATCAACGGCCGATCGTAGAAATAACCGAGAATACAGCGCAAGATTGCTTGATGCCCAACCACCAGTACATCGGTCTGAAAACGCACATTTGCGTTTTGCGGTACTCTTTTTATAATACTTGTCTTTCCAACTCCATGATCACCGGCTCCAATCTGGAGACCACGTCTTCGTAACTTTCACCTGATGGATACCGATAGTGGTGCTTGTCACGGGCTCGATCTTCAGACTGTCTTGGATATCTGAATGGAGTAGTTGGCTAGGCGCTATGATATTCACTGACCGTGGTTCTATATCTGCATGGGTGAGTCCCTCACAAATCCCCGCTTTGATCTCATCCAAAGCTTTCCAGTACTCAACGTGTGCCGCTGCTGAGGCCACCTCGCGAGCTGTTTGCGCGGCTCGAATCTGTAGTTCTCTCATAGCCAGTTCGCCGTCCCCCCCCTTAAACTACCTTTTGACTACTCCAAATCCTCAAATCGGGAATCTTCTAGTACGGTAGCCAATTACGATAGCCGGCTTACAATAGCTTACGGTAGCTTTTGAAGGTGCTACATTTTAAAAACCACACTGTACATAGGGGCACTTAAAAGTTAGCAAGCATTTGATACTGTACTCTCAGCAAAAGTTGATTTGATAGTTGATACTCTCAGAAAAAGTTATCCAACTTTTAGAAACCTCAAAACCAAAGAGATCAAATTCTTTTTGTACAGAAATTTAGAAAATTTGAGTACAGGTATAAATCGGCCGAAATAAACGGTTTCCAAGAGCAGAAATCATTTTTTGACTCAGATCCAATTAGAATTTGATTAAAGGGAATCAAAGGGATTTGATCAAAAGATCAGAGGGATTCGATTAAAGGGACCAAAGGCACTCACTTCTGGTACAAGACTTTGTGCTCTTTATGCAATGGGATCAATGGTACAAAAGCTTTTATGCAAGTCAAGTAAAAATTTTACCAATGTACATCAACATTTCCTATTTCATTCCCACTAAAAGCTTTCCTCTTCGATCAACTGAAAACACTTTTCGTCAAAAGTAAGATCATTTGATGATGTTTGGAAAGGCACAAAGATAACTTGAAAGAAAATTGAAATTTTTGCAAGATTTTGGTAGGAATGATAAAAAGGAATATCTATAGACTCCTTTTACTTTTATCTATAGACTTTTGCAAGATGCTCGTTGATCAACAATCAAAAGTAAGCCGGTTTCATGGGATTTTGAAAGTCATATGGATAACTTGAAAGAAGTCTTCTCAAATTATCCATTCAATCTGATTATTTCAGATCAAAGAGACGAATCCGATCATTTTGATATCAGATATATCCATTGACCCATATGATATGATTTACAGATTCTAAGATCTCATACCCAGGTCAAGCATTGGACCAGGCCAGACGTGGATCTAGCTTCAAAACTGAACCTGGGCATGGACTTATCTATTGGATAAGTTCAAGATACAAAACACCGGGACTACGGTAGCTTGATTGTTCATGGATTGAGTTTACGGTAACTTTTTCTATCATTTAGTTGAAATGAAAATCGCTTTCAAAAAGATAAGTTGAAAAGTTGAATCTGGGCGCTGTCAAAATTAGCATTTGGAGATGCCGCTCTATTAGAGCGTGCTGTTCTAATGGAGGGTGCTGCTCTAATAGAGTATTTACAGTATAAAGAAAATATTATGTCTTTTATCGACAAATTCTACCATTCAATCATAATCTTTAGGTAATTGAAAAGCTAATCATTTTTGGCAATCAGTTTTCAGATTCCGAAAAGAAACCTGGATTTCCCTTAACTCTATTCATTATACAATTCTGTCAATTGCTAAAGCGTTTATTGCTTTCTGACAGATTACAAAAGATTTACAGATTACAAAAGATCTCTTGCACAATCCACGTCTTTCATCTGCTGGCTGTCGTCGGCTGAACGAGAAAAAACTGTTGACAGCTTTGGTTTTACAAGTATTGTTGATACTAATATGGCACTAATATATTTATCTAAAAACCAGCAGCTTCACTGCTGCTTTTGGAGCAAAAGAATTGGATTGAATGGTAGAATTTGTCGATGTCGATAAACGACACATTGAGCTGTAGCAAGCACCATCCAGACAACGGAGAATGAGGCAAATTGCTAGAAAAGCTAAGTAGAGAATGGTTACGGTAAACTAGCAGCAATTACATTTTTTTCCGGACAAGATTAGAGTAACTGAAAGTTGACATGTTTTATAAAAAGCGCTTTGAAAAGGAACCCAAAACAGTAGCTCAGAGGAATACAATAATGGTTTTAGATCCATGTAATCACAGTCTAATCAACCTGAATCAGTTTTGGACTGATGCCAAACACTTGATACAAAAACCCATACACAGTTCCCATTGGAGCTGGGAAGTAAAGCTCAGCCAAAGCACCGTGGAGGGTGAATTCGAAAGAGATTGACCAGATCTAAAGTGAACTTGGAGAAATACTGATTAAAAATCCTAATTGATAAGCTGGTACGGTAGCTTTAGTCTCAAAGTTGTCTATGAAGCTTGTGAAATCTGCTAGCGTAGTTCGGTAACCGTTACTTATTCATCTTTCCTTAAAACCAACCTGATACCAAACAATATGATACTTGTAGCCTTTCATATTTGCCGGTGATAATGTCAAAATCGCTACCAGAGTTAAAAGATTGAAAACTGTGCCGATGACAAAAGTAATGTTCATAAAAAGAATGTATAAAGTTGGTCTTTCATGAAAAGTCGACATTGATAAATATTGAGATATTGAAAGATTCAGTTTAAAATGGTAAAGAAGAAGTCGGCCATTCGAAGGCCATAACAGGTGAAAATCTCGATTGTCCTTGTGCTGGAATTGATTTTTGCTTAGCTTTTTTTGCCTAGATACCTGGAATTCATAGAGCATATGAACTTTAATTTTTGATTGCTAAAGGAACTTTTTACTAAAATGAGCTGTACTTGGGTTAATCGACTTTCTGCTATGCTCAAAAATAGCCTAGACTATTTTAAGAGTATGTTTCAATTTCTATTTCTATTTGATGTCCAAATGTGAGCAACGAGATAATGCTGAGATAATAGATGTATCCAAAAGGTGTTGAAACAGTTACCAATTGATTCATCCTATTTGATTTCTCTAAAAGAAAGAAAATTGTCCGTACAGTCATTCGAAATGTTTCTACTTTTCGACCCATCGATTCATCCTATTTGATTTCTTTAAAAGAAAGAAAATTGTCAGTGCAATCATTCGAAATGTCTCTAATGATTCTGCTGGCAATTTTCTTTCTCCTAGGGAAATCAAATGGGCTGAATCAATTGGTAATCGTTTCAACACTTTTCGGATACATCTATTCGATGATTTGCCAACTTGTTGCACTCGTACCACCCAGCATTATCTCGTTGCTCACATTTGGAAATAGAAATAGAAATAGAAATAGAAATATGCTGGGAATACTCTTAATATAGTATGAACTAGCTTAGCAGGCTTAGATTTTTTCAGAATAAAGGAAAAAGGCTTGGGTTTGAAAGTGCCCCCCCCCCCCCACAAGCCTGTAGTACTAATTTAGCCAACTACTAAACCAGCGATTCGCGAGGGAGACAATGTATTAGATGATCTGATCAATCCGAAAGGATTTCCGTTGGGGGTGGGTAGCTTATTGTCGTTCTTTGGTACGTAGTTCTTTCAATGACTTGAAATTCAATGTTTATATTTAATTTTTAGCTTCTGTGGCCTGATGGAAATCCGTGCCCCGACAGGTGCACATCGTTTCGATTATGGAGGTTTGTGGGTTGAAGAAATACCGTATTTACTCGAATAGAAGACCGGCCTCGATTATAAGATGGGGTCTAGGGGATGATCGAAAAACTAGAAAACCGTCTCGAATATAAGACTCGACTCGAATATATTGGACGTACCCTGTTTTCTATTCTGCTCGAGAGTGGACGTACTCAAATACGGGAAAAGAATAAGAGCATTTACCCAATAGGGTAAAAATATTATATTTTCATTCAATAGCACTATTTTTTTGGTACTTTTCCATTATACCTCCGCCATCTCCACATTTCCGTTATACCGCCGCCGTTTTGACTCTGATTATTTTAATTATTTGATTATCTGATCATTTTTTATCTAAAAACTGGCGGGGTATAACCGAAATGTGAAGTTGGCGGAGGTATAACGAAAAAGTAGCATTTTTCTTAGGTGATGGGAGGTGCTACGGAACGGAAAGCCTACAGTGCCGCCTTTAAACTCGAGGCCATTCGTTTTTCAAAGAAAAACTCGAAAGAGGCGGCTGCTCGACAGTTTAATGTGACTACAAAGATGATTCGAGACTGGACGGCAAAAGAGGAGTCGCTGCAAAAGGAATCGAAAGGAGCGAAGCGGTTAAATGGAGGAGGGCGAATGCTTAAATTTCGCACAGTCGAGGAGGCCACTTATCGATGGATCAAAGAAAAATGAGAGGAAAAGCTAAAACTTTCTCGACGTATGGTTCAGGACTACGCCAAGGATTTTTTCGCGAATCGAACCTACATTTCACAAAGTCTTTCTCTGCATTTTTTTGAGACGACAAAAAATGACAACAGGGAGTCCAACGGCGAGGATGATCAGATTGTTTGTTTCCGCAAAGGGGAAGCTGTTGAGAGTAGTCGATTCGAGCTGGATATTGCAAGATTGGAGGGAAGATTAGCAAAACTTTGTCAAGATATCGACTCCGACGAGGATAGAGACAATGGATATGAGAGTGAAAACGATTGAATTTCGAGCGCAGAGGGACTTGATGGGATTTTGCAATATCCGGATTTAATAAAGGATGACATTGAATCAAGTGAGAATGAAGAATAATGTTGGTACTACTGCTTTTTTATGTTCTTATTAGTTGTTGTTAATGCTGTTATTAAAGGTTGTTGTTTTGTTGTTCTATATTTTTGTTATAAATTTTGTTGTTAAATGTTTACAATAAATTTCTATAGAAGTTTTTTCTAAACGCTGGTTACTTTCCTGAAAATTTTCGTGAATGCGAATAATAAAAGACCGTGTTGAATAGACGACCGGCCTCGAATAGAAGACGGGGTCTAGGGGGCCATTGAAAAAAATAGAAGACCGGTCTTCTATTCGAGTAAATACGGTAAATGGATTTGCAGCTTGTTGCTTGTTTGAGTTAAGTTTTTAGCGTAAAATAAGTTTATGCAGTAGTACTATAACAATTAGCAATGCCTTTACTTCTGCTGAATTACAAAATTTTATAATTTTGGGTTTCAGGTATATCCATCATGGTTTTCATGAGGGATGGTTTGATTTCTTTTCTTTTTCTTTTTTTTTTGTTTCCATTTCATGGTTTGATTTCTCTAAAAGAAAGAAAATTGTCCGTACAGTCATTCGAAATGTTTCTACTTTTCGACCCATCGATTCGAAATGTCTCTAATGATTGTGCTGGCAATTTTCTTTCTTCTAGGGCAATCAAATGGGCTGAATCGATTGGTAACCGTTTCAACACTTTTTGGATACATCTATTCGATGATTTGCCAACTTGTTGTACTCACCCAGCATTATCTCGTGGCTCACTTTTGGAAATTAAAAAGAAATTGGAATTGAAACATGCTGGGAATACTTTAATATAGTATGAACTAGCTTAGCAGGCTCAGATTTTTTCAGAATAAAGGAAAAATATAATCATTCAAAACATTGAGTTTCAAAGTGCCCCCCCAGCAAAAGTCTATAGTACTAATTTAGCCAACTACTACGCCAGCGATTCGCGATGGAGACAATGTATTAGATGATCTGATCAATCCGAAAGGATTTCCGATGGGGGTGGGTAACTTATTGTCGTTTTTTGGTACATAGAATAACTTGAAATTCAATGTTTATGTTTAATTTTTAGCTTATATGGTTTGATGAAAAACCTGATTGGCCCGACATCACATCGATCAAATCGTTTCGATTATGGAGGTTTGTGGGTTCAAGAAATAAATGGATTTCCAGCTTTATTACTTGTTTGAGTTAAGTTCTTAGCGTAAAATAAGCTTATGCAGTAGTACTATAACAATTAGCGAAGCGTTTACTTCTGCTAAATTACAAAATTTAATAATTTTGCATTTTAGGTATAAGCATCATGGTTTGCAAGGCGCCGAAGTCGCTGAAGGTAGCGAGAATGGCCTTCCAATGGATGTTAATATAAACTTTGTATAAACAATAAAGGTTTCTTTCGGTAAAACACATTTATTACTGGCCTGGCGATCATATTTCTATCACGTGCAAAGTTTGTCAACGGTTAGTTTCGTCCATAGGATCTAAATAAAATGTTCTGTTCGAATTTTAGAGGTCTCGATTCAAATGGGAAGATCAAAACGTGGGGTTGGGCCAGAAAAGTATACGACTTTTTCGATCATTACCAGAAGAATAAGGTACAATTCGTTTCGATTTTCTGCTATTGTTGCCACATTTAGAAGTTGCAACTCGCGGATGTTGGCGTGCAATTTTTACCACCCAATTCCGGGATCAATACAATATTGTACGAATTCGATGGATCAGGGGATTCTGATCCGTCTTACATGCCCGAAAATCGGTGCGTTTATTTGTTAAAAAATTAAGGTACTTATTGTCTTGTTCGTTTAGAAAAATTTGTTGCTTTAGAATTCAGGCCACAAAGCACGGATTTTTGCCCCATATTCGACGACAAACGTTCGAACAAATTGGCAATACGTTACACATTCATAATGTAAGTTTATGTGTTTAGTTGTAAGTTTTTCTGATTTTTGAGGCTGAAGCAAGGGCGGCTGGTGTGTATTTTTGCTACGATGACACCGCGATCAATCTGGTATACTTTCACGGCGGCAATGAAATTTTTACCCATGCTTAGTTCCGCTATTTGTATATTCTTCACGCAATGACGCCGATCAATCGAGGGAAAAGAATTCTTTAGCTTTCAAGGCTTCTAAAAATAAACTTTTAAACAAACATAAATTAAACATAAACATTGAATTTTGTAGTCCAAAGGAAGCGGATAATAGCGGAAACAGATAAAAAGGTGTTTGTAAAAGACGTTTGCCCAGCCAGTTATGAAAACCTGATAAAAACTACCGTAAATACTGTAATATTAGGTTGGCAACTTAATAATGACGCGTTTATGTAACAAATAATTTTTTCAAAAAAACACGTGAGAAGAGCTTTCAATTCGAAAGGTATTCTCCATTAGTATCTATGACTTATTCCCATCTTCTGCGCAAATCCCGGGTCCCATCCTCAAAGAACTTGGGAGCTTGTGAGGCGAAGTAGTCATTCACTGCTTTCATGACCTGATTTTGATTCTATTGACATAAATGACAAAAGTCGTTTTTTTCTCTTCTTCGAACTGAAATTCACACTGTTCAATGGAACGACAGTCATTCATTGATGAGAAAACTAGAGTTTTGTTTTTAAATGCTTTTGCAGTTAACACCATGTAAAGACTTTGTTCTCAAAAACAGTAACTCTTGATTTCTGGAACACTCAAATCAACATTGCTTTTATCCCTTTGCAATTTTTCACTTAGAGAACCTTGCCATTTTCTTTCCCAGAACCGAACTCATCTTCGAAAAGTCAATTTCTAAAGCCCAGAATTCACGGGTATGCAACAGTTTCTCAAATTTCAGTTCTCTAAATTCTCTTTTTCCAAGGGCAAAGAATTTTTGCGAAACATTTAATGCATCAGTGCAATTGATAAAATTGAGTTCAAGTTGATGTTTTGTTTTTACTTTGCTTTCTTAATCTCTAATATTTCAGAATGAGCTTACTTAATTTTCTATATTCATTGATTTCATTACAACTAACGACGGGATTGTTCGACCCGAATCACCTTTATCAAGGACTTCAATTTAATTGTAATTTGGATTGTTAGAAAAATCTAAAGATATTTAGATAATTATTTGGATTATTTGAATGTATCGCAAATTTTATACAATCATTTATTTATCGAGAGGAATTATACTTCTGCGTTGTCACCGGTTGACTCGAGAATGAATGGTGAGAGATTTGAGTTTGATTCGGAAATGAGAATCGATCAACTTAAAATGATAAAGACTTCTAGTTTCACATCAACTATAGCCCACTCATTTTTATTTACAATTAGGTTTACAGTATAGCTACAGTAAGTCTACAGGAGGTTTGAGTCTCGAATCTTTTCTCATCCGCTCCACTCTTGCAGGGAATCCGCGTTTCAGCGTTCACCTTATCTTAAACTTTGCTCAATTGATGAACGTTGTAAGACTTTTTTAAAGTTTCGAAATTTTCAAAGAATTCTAGATGGACGAAGACGAGAGAATCGGGATTTTGCTTGAGATTTTTACGTAGGCGATATTGTTTTGTGGCTTTCAGATTTGGCAAGATGTCCGTTTGTCTCACACACAAACCAAAATCCTACTACGAAAGAGGAATCCGCAAATTGCCTGTAAAATGGGCAGAAGTCGTGAACAATAATGGAAATTATTTCGAATGAATTTATGGTTTTATGTTCAATAAATGTTCAAAGTCCGGCAGTTTTCAATACACCAACCCAATACAGTGCGTTCCAAAAGTTTAGACGGTAGCGCAAAATGGGCGTTTCCGTAAAAAATGCAACTAAATTTTTTGTTATTTTTATCTACATTAATGTAAAATACCGAAAAACTTTTAGCTTGCTGGCTTTGATGAAAATAAAAAAATATCGACTTTATCGAAAACCGGGTGTTCCAAAAGTTTAGACGGTTTGGAATTTTATCTTTAAAAATTAATTTTTTTCAATATTTTTGGTTCTCTTTTTATACTGAACTTTTGCGTAATGATCTATTTTACAGGAAATGGGCAAGAAGGGAAAGATTTCCGCTCTCGAGATTTCACAGATTGAGGCTTACCGTAACGCCGGCTGGACCTTCAACAAAATTGCAGAGAAACTTAATCGTTCTGAGCCAGGAGTTCGAAAAGCATTTGGAAGGATGAACAACAAACGTCCCAATAAGAAAATGGGTAGACCTCCCAAGTTATCTGAAAGAAATCGACGACATTTGTCAAATACTGCTTCGAATTCGCCAAAGACAGCGAAGGAGTTAGCCGCTGAGTGTGGGCTCAAAGTTTCAAAACAAACGATTCTGCGAAGTTTGGAAGAAAATCCGAATCTGCAAAGAATGAAGATGATGCCAGCTCCAAAATTAAAGGATATTCACAAAACAGCACGTTTAGACTTCGCTCAGCGTGAAATGAATCGAGATTGGACAAAAGTGAGATTTATAACTCTGATTATCTAAACAAAATGAAACTTTAGATCATCTTCAGCGATGAGAAGAAGTGGTGCCTTGACGGACCAGACGGTTATCTGCATTATTGGAGAGATTTACGAAAAGAACCAAAGTATTTTTCAAAGCGCAATTTTGGCGGAGGATCCCTGATGTGCTGGGGAGCTTTTTGTGCAGATGGGACCCTTGAGATTTGCTTCACCTCAATGAGAATGGATAGTATCGAGTATCAACAAGTTTTATCCCAATCTCTGATTCCATTTCTAACACAAAATCAAGGAAATTCTTATGTTTTTATGCATGATGGGGCTTCCATTCATCGAAGCGCTTCGACCACCAGCTACCTTCAACAACAAAATGTCCCCGTGTTGCCGTGGATCGCATGTTCTCCTGACTGTAACCCCATCGAGAACATTTGAGGATATCTTGTACGAAAGGTTTACAAAAACGGACAACAATACACAACGATCGACTCTTTGAAAGCGACAATTACTAGAGAATGGGGTCAAATTCCCTCCACGCTGATTCAATCGCTTATCCAAAGTATGCCAAAAAGAATCTTTCAGTTAATTCGCCGCGGAGGCAACGTTATTGATTTTTAAGGCACTTTAAAGCACTTTTGTCAGGTTTTTTTTACTAGTTTTTTCTGTTACAATAAATCCGTCTAAACTTTTGGAACACCCGGTTTTTGATAAAGTTTTAAACCCAATATTATACACTTTTAAACCCAATATTTTGAATGATTGTATTTCTCCTTTATTCTGAAAAATTTTTTCTATTTCTATTTCTATTCTTTCTATTTCTATTTCTATTTGATTTCCATATGTGCGCAACGAGATAATGCTGGGTGGTGGGAGTGCAGCAAGTTGGCAAATCATCTAATAGATGTATCCAAAAGGTGTTGAAACGATTACCAATCGATTCAGCCTATTTGATTTCTTTCTTATAGGGAAATCAAATGGGCTGAATCGATTGGTAACCGTTTCAACACCTTTTGGATACATCTATTAGATGATTTGCCAACTTGCTGCACTCCCACCACCCAGCATTATCTCGTTGCGCACATATGGAAATAGAAATTGAAATTGAAACATGCTGGGAATACTTTAATATAGTATGAACTAGCTTAGCAGGCTTAGATTTTTTCAGAATAAAGGAGAAATACAATCATTCAAAACGTTGGGTTTGAAAGTGCTCCCCCCCCTCCCTCCCCACAAGCCTATAGTACTAATTTAGCCAACTACTGCACCAGGGATTCGCGAGGGAGACAATGTATTAATGTATTAGATGATCTGATCAATCCGAAAGGATTTCCGTTTGGGGTGTAGCTTATTGTCGTTTTTTTGGTACGTAGAATAACTTGAAATTCAATGTTTAGATTTAATTTATAGCTTCCTTTGCTTTAGAATTCTTTCCCTTTCCCGTATATCGACGAGATCAGGTCGTTTCGATTATGGAGGTTTGTGGGTTCAAGAAATAAATAGATTTCCAGCTTGTTACTTGTTTGAGTTAAGTTTTTAGCGTAAAATAAGCTTATGCAGTAGTACTATAACAATTAGCAATACCTTTACTTCTGCTAAATTACAAAATTTAATAGTTTTTCGTTTTAGGTATGATCATCATGGTTTTCATGGCGCCGAAGTGGCTGAATGTGACGAGAATGGCCTTCCAATGAAGGTTAATATAAACTTTGTATAAACAATAAAGGTTTCTTTAGGTAAAACAAATCTATTACTGGCCTGGCGATCATATTTCTTTCACGTGCAAAGTTTGCCAACGGTTAGTTTCGTCCATAGAATCTAAATAAAATGTTCTGTTCGAATTTTAGAGGTCTCGATTCAAATGGGAAGATCAAAACGTGGGGTTGGGCCAGAAAAGTATACGACTTTTTCGATCATTACCAGAAGAATAAGGTACAATTCTTTTCGATTTTCTGCTATTGTTGCCACATTTAGAAGTTGCAACCCGCGGATGTTGGCGTGCAATTTTTACCATCCAAGATCAACATCAATACAAGATTGATGGAATTCGATGGATCAGGGGATTCTGATCCGTCTTACATGCCCGGAAATCGGTGCGTTTGTTGTTTTTATTAAAGAAATAAGGTACTTATTGTCTTGTTTCTATAGAAAGTTTGTTTCTTTAGAATTCAGGCCACAAAGCACGGATCTTTCCCCCATATCCGACGACAAAAGTTGGAACCGATTGGCAATACGTTACACATTCATAATGTAAGTTTATGTATGGTTTAGATGTAAGTTTGTCTGATTTTTTTAGGCTGAAGCAAGGGCGGCTGGTGTATATTTTTGCTACGATGACACCGGGCTCAATTTGGTATACTTTCACAGCGGCAATGAAATTTTTCCCCATGTTTAGGTCCGCTATTTCTATATTCTCCACGCGATGACGCCGATCAATCGAGTAAATTGGATGGATGATGCTAATTTGAAGAATCGTCTTCAGCTCAGTCCGGATATGGGTCAGTTTTAACAATTCTTACTAAACTTGCACATTTTAGGCAAAATGGTCTGTGAATCGCCGGACAAAAAGGATTTGTTCCCGCTTCCATATCAATGTGGCAATGACTGCGGGAATATCAATGTTTCATATCAATGTGGCAATGACTGTGGCAATGACTGCGAGTGCCTGAAAGTTAAATTTCCTCTTTATCTGC